GGCAGATTGGGCCCTTCAAAAACAAACGTAATCCACTGCATTTTCAACTGCTCAGATATCGGGAGTAAATGATGACTGCTATGTTCATTATTACATCCAACAACAAAACACCTCAATCGCTTAGGAGCCATTCTTGTCTACCCCTGCTCCAGTGCCTAAACAATGGCAGACTGTCTACAGCCCACTCAAGGTGGATCTGATCGCATGAGTATTGCAGGGCGGGCGCGGGCCATCAGCGGAAAAAGAAAGGGGGAGGGGGAGTGGGATTGGCGCCGGAGCTGGATTTTTTTATAGGTTTAAAGAGGGGCACGACCAAAAAAGTTTGAGAACCACTGGTCTAAGGTAAGACGGCTGTGTCAATCAACGATTGTGGGAGGGGCCTGGGTCTGTGTGACGTCTGAAAACGGCTTGATTTGAGAAAGGGGTCAATATTTATGTGAATTTAAAAAAAAAACACTAGATGGATATAAGCTCATATGTAATTTGATTCTTACCTTTTCAGTACCTTTTGGGTTGATAACGATGCAGAAAAATACAGTCCTATCACCCATTGAACTGCAAATTCAAAATAAAGGAAAATTGTCCACGGTTTAAAGAAATTAACGTGTTTTTTTCAAGTTATATTAAAATGTTTGCGGCAATGTTAAAAAATACGTTACTATAAAATTGCAATTTTGGGAGGAAAAAAAGTCACACATGCGTCGCATTTTACATTTAGAAATCATATTTAACACTATAAACAGCTATAGGCTATATTTCCCCACACTACTCAAATTGTACAAAATGAACAGTATTCAGCCTATACAATTGTCAAGCCAAAACATATTCATTTAAAGTGAAACTGAAGCCCTCTTTCATTCAGCATGAAACCAAATGTTTCCATATTCACCACATATTGGATATACTTACTTCACTCGCATTTTCAGCTTAAAACATCATTCAAATATAACAGCACAGTGAGGATGTGGTCACGCTGAATGGTACAGATTTTAATGACACTGACATATATTTTTCCGTGATTATAATAAGAAAACTACAGCTAGACAATTTAATAATAATAATATTATAATTGTAACGCTGAGTCAGAGGCGTGCGGATCCATTTGCAGCTTTTATTAGAATAACAGGCAGAGTAAAACAGGCAGTATTCAGTCAACAGCGTCACGTACAGCAGGGGTAATCCAAGGGAATAAACAGTGGCAAAGCGAGGGTCGGGGCAGGCGGCAGAGAATCAAACTAGTAAGAACAGTCCGAGGTAATACACAAGAGATGACAAGAAAGGGGATAAACGCTCAGAAATGTAGCCGGGGCAATATAAGACTTCGCAACCATAGAGTGTCTGGGAGCTGCTTAAATAGGGAAGCTAAGGGGGAACACCTGTGCCGTAATCAGCCCCAGGTACGGGGTGTCTGGGAAATGTAGTCCATGAACGTTAGTACTCAGGAGAGGGTGCCCTCCGGAGGCCGTCGGTGAGAGCCACAGAGGCCCGATTCGTGACAGAGCCCCCCCCCCCGCTGCGAGCGGCTCCTGAAGCGAGGAGGAGAACGACGCCGATGCCTTACACAGGAGCGAGGGGCTGGAAGACTGCGGTAATCGATGCATGGCCGGAGACCTCCCTCTTTCTTCTAGAAACTAGCTGAAGCAGGTGGGAGCTGCTTAAATAGGGAAGCTAAGGGGGAACACCTGTGCCGTAATCAGCCCCAGGTATGGGGTGTCTGGGAAATGTAGTCCATGAACGTTAGTACTCGGGAGAGGGTGCCCTCCGGAGGCCGTCGGAGAGAGCCACAGAGGCCCGATTCGTGACAATAATAATCTTTATTTTCTAGAGCCTTTAAATGTCAAAGCGCTTTACATGAACAAATAAAACATCAAAATACACCATTAAAGATTATGAAATAATAAGCAAAAAGATGAAAAAATATTTAAATAATTTTCAACCAAAAGAAAGATAAAAATTATTCAGAGCAACATATCCACCATGACCCTCACAAAAAACCTAAAACAAATATTACAGCTGTAACGAGCAGGTCCTTGTGTCCATTCTCTTTGGACTACAAATCCCATAATCCACCACACGGCACTAATTACAATTACACCTGCTCCCTATCTGGCCCCCTATAAAGGTTACACTCATCCATAGTTAGGTTGCGAAGTATTGGTTATATACTAAGCCCCTGTCTGATTACCTTGCCTTGCCTAGTCTAGACTTGTTCCTGTGTTTTGCCGTTGCCTGTTCTCTGTTTGATGATCTCTTGCTGCCTGCCCTGACCATTTGCCTCTATTTGACTCTGTTTGCTGGTGATTTGACCCCTGCTTATTCCTGACTACGCTGTTTACAATAAACGTCTGCAGATGGATCCACACTCTGGTGGTCATGCTCGCTCTGTAACAACAGCTACAGTTTTAGAAAGGAATTGTTTATTTACTTGGTATGAAATATTGATGTTTATAAATAAGAGTTTTGGCACACCTGACTGAGTGGCTTTGTTCTAATAATAGTATAAGAACTTAAATAGTTATTTTGGTCATTAGAGTAGAACATCATTCATATAGCTACTTTTGTAATTTGAAATTTAAATAAACCATCAAATCGAAAACAAAATATAAAACTTTATGCAAATATGCATGAATGACCACGTTTGCATCACAAAAATCATTGGTTTTTAATAAACTTTTAGTAAGACTAATTAAATCAGCGTCCTGACTTGACTAGCTATATATAGTAGCCTACATATCGCCAATGCCTGCGGAAAGTGAAATAAAGTGTGCGATCACATATAATGAAAACATAAATTGGTTTTCCAAGTCCTTTTTATTATTTGTGTGAATTATATTTTAAAGTGATATTCTAATATAAATAGGCTATTTTGGGCCAGTTTTACTAAGCAGGGCAAATTAGCGCGAGAGCGCAATCAAAACCAGCGCCGATAGGTGTGGAAATTTCTGCGGGTGATTTACTAACAAAGCGCAAATTAAAGAACACAGACGCAACATCTCATTTACATATCGGCCAATGCAATATACCAAGCGCATAGCAAATTAGCGTAGTTGCAAATAAAGAAATAAAGACGCCACAGTACATTGAAAAGAACCGAAAGCCAAAAAATTCAGGTTTGATAGACCTGGTATTGCGTGACTCCTAGTTGAGGGTTCTAAGTCGTCTTTTATTTCCTGAAGCAAATTAAAAATAACATGGCTTGGCAAACGATATGTTCGGATAATGTGTTCTTCTGGCATTCAAAATAAATTAATACGTGTGGAAAAAATCCTTTCACTTCTGCAGTGCCTCCTCCTAGCAACAATAATTGCAGCTATATCAAGCATTAAATAGTTTAAGACATGCTTTTTTTGAGCGTTAAATAATGGCACAAATGCCAGTAAATTCGACAGCACAAAATTTTGTAAAACGCGTTGTGTGATTCATTTGAATTCTCTCCTCCCATAACTTTTGCATCTGAAAGGGAAACTCCTACAAATGCATATTCAATAAGGTCAGGCGCAAAAATAACTGTCCACGCTTTTTCAGCGCTAATTCTTCACTGCGCGTCTTTAGTAAAACCTGACAGTACTATTTTAACGCCAAAAGACGGTTTGCGCTGGCGCAAGCTGTTAGTAAAACTGGCCCTTTATGTAGTAAACCATCAGACACTATAAGAAAACAAATTCTTATCAAAAGCAGTCTGATCTGGCCGTGGTGTTTAACTACAGAATGTTGTTCCTTACGCCACCTGGTGGATATTGTGTGAAGCACAACAATGTTGTAAAAAAATCTGAAAAAGTGCCTGCAATGAGCTCCGTGATCACGCATGGCAAATGCTGATTGGTTTTCTCCTGTATTGGAACATATACAAGGCTGTATACTGTTTTATACATGCTTACGATAAAATCCTTAGATAAAGGGTTAGTTTACCCAAAAATGAAAATAAGAAAGTCATATATACCTAGGATGCTTTGAGGGTGAGTAAAACATGGGCTAATTTTAATTTTTGTGTGAACTAACCCTTTAATATAACCTCACCTATAGCATGTTTGTGAATCTATCTATGAATTTGTATTTTGATTATCTAAATGAGTGTATATTATATGTTGATACCCATGCAATATGTTAGTGTTCTGAGAATCTTTAATAGCTTGGCATAATGCTGTCGTGGCCTAATGGTAGAGAGTCGGGCTTGTAACCCAAAGGCCGTGGGTTCGAGTCTCAGATCCGGCAGGGATTGTAGGTGGGGGGAGTGATTAACCAGCGCTCTCTCCACCCTCAAAACCAGGACCGAGGTTAGACCCTTGAGCAAGGCACTGAACCCCCCACTGCTTCCGGGCACCGCAGCATTGGCTGCCCACTCCTCCAGGTGTGTGTTTCACTACTCACTGCTGAGTGACAACTCTCAGAGTGATTGGCATGGTAATGCACATGACAATGTTAATATATTTGGTCTTGGTGGAAGAGATCTGCTACGCTGCTGCGGCATTGCAAGTACCAAGACATGCTACTGCCAACACATCCACAACATGCTGCTGTGAGCATGTAAGAAATACTGCTGATGAACATATGAATTGAGCTAATTTGCTACAGGACTGTACAGGAAGCGAGTAAAGAACACTCCTTTTAAAATAATTGAAGATGACAATTATTTAACTACAATCAATGAATCTGCCAAATGAATCTCTTATTTACATTGTTTGCACACTTTGATTTTAATGAGATTTTTTATTAAAAAAACTTATAAATCAAAGACATTTACACAAACAACTACATGTCCGATGTTTGAAAGATTTTTGTGAATATGTGAAGTTAGACAGATTAGCACAGGCAGAGGTTAATGTATTCCTCAACTGTAAGTCGCTTTGGATAACAGCTTCTGCCAAATGAATATAGCGAAGGGTGCATCTATTGTTCACTTAATTTGCCTGCGAAATGGAGGGCGCACTTGAAGTCACTTTCAAATTGCATCAGCCTTCTGAATGCCACAGTGACGCAATAAGCCTTCGAATGCGGCCTTCGGAGGGTGAATCGTGAATTGGGACAGCCTTCATAGTGACGCAATCGCACTTCAAATGTGGCTTTCGGAGTGCGCAACCTTCTCTTTGGCACACAGCTATTGTCATGCTGATCGAGTTACAATAACAAACTGAAAGCTTTAAAAGGAAGGTGGTGCTTGAAATCATTGTTCTACTTCTGTTAACCATGGTTACCTGCAAGGAAACACGCACACTCATCATTGCTTTGCACAAAAAAGGAATTCACAGGCAAGGATATTGCTGCTAGTAAAAGCAATCACACTGGAGCTACTTTACATCCGAAACTAATCACAATGTAAACGGCTTCTCTCCAGTGTGAACCTTCATGTGCTTCTGAAGGTTTCCTTTTTTAATGAAGCTCTTTCCACACTGGCAGGTGAAAGGTTTCTCTCCAGTATGAATTTTCATGTGGCCATCAAGGTTTTGTTTATGTGTAAAACTTTTTCCACATTGAGAGCATGTGTAAGGCTTCTCTCCAGTATGAATTCTCAAGTGGTTTTTAAGGTTTGCTTTTCGAATGAAGCTCTTTCCACACTGTTTGCAGGTGTAAGGCTTCTCTCCAGTATGAGTTCTCATGTGGCCTTTAAGGTTTCCTTTTTGAGCGAACCTCTTTCCACACTGTTGGCAGATGAAAGGTTTCTCTCCAGTATGAATTCTCATGTGGCCATCAAGGTGTTGTTTGTGTGTAAAACTTTTTCCACATTGAGAACATGTGTAAGGTTTCTCTCCACTGTGAATTCTGATGTGGTTTTTAAGATTAGATTTTCGAATGAAGCTCTTTCCACACTGTTGGCAGGTGAAAGGCTTCTCTCCAGTGTGAATTCTCATGTGAAGATTAAGGTTCCCTATTTCAGTAAAACTCATTCCACACTGTTGACAGACAAAAGGTTTTTCTCCAGTGTGAACTCTCACAGGGTATTTAAGGTTTGCTTTTCGAATGAAGCTCTTTCTACACAGTTTGCCGGTGTAAGGCATGTCTCCACTGTGAATTCTCATGTGGACTTCAAGGCTTCCTTTTCTGGTGAAACTTTTCCCGCACTGTTGGCAGGTGAAATAACGTCTATTTGCTGTATTTTGAGCTCTTTTTTGTGTCTTTTCAGTATTTGAGCAACTAAATGTTTTTTCTCCAGTCATGAAACCATATTTCTCATGCTGAACATTATCTTCCTTTTTACTGAATTCTTGACTCTCCTCTTTCAGTGTCATCAGGTCTAATGCAAAAAAAGAAAAATCCAAATTAACACCATTTTTAATGGCACAAAGAACAAACATCAAAACCAACAACATGTAGATCTAATAAGTGATGTTTACAAACAAATTTCGGGAGGAGCACGCACAGATAATTAACACGGCCAATTCATCATTAGTGATTACACCATTTATCCAATCAGCGCAAGAGAAAACTCCCATAAATAACCAAGTACGCCCTACCTTCGTTATCTCTCGACTTTCAGCACGGAACGCTTCCACTAAACCTTAACCTTTCTAGATACTGCCACAATAAATGTACACCAAAGGACGTCCAGCACCCCTCTAATATTAAGCCTTGTTTTGGGGGGTCGTAAATGCACGTATCTGGCTGCTGTCCTGTTTTAAATTGCTTTTTGGGGGAGCGCTTTTTGGGCCGGGCTGAACACCGAGCTCGGACTCCTCTCCCCGGACAGGGGGTGGTGCCCCGGGCTCGGGAGTCTTGCCGAGCTCGGGAACTCCATCTTTGTTTGTTCCTCAGTATCTTCATGTTTGGCTCTGAATGTTTCTTCAATCTTCATGTCTTCACTCTCCTCTTTAATAAACGCCATCTTTGTTCCTTTATAACAGTGTGTCACGTGGCTCTGTTAGAGATCAATGACAGATTCCTCAAGTTATCAAAAACACAGATCTTCTGTCTTATATAAGCAAGTGTTAAGTGCTCTCAATTCGCTGTTAAAGCAGCACTATGTAACTTTTGGCGCTTTAGCGGTTAATAAACAACCGCACACATCCCGCGGAAGAACATTCTAACCGGAGCTACTTCTCTAAGTTTATGTCTATAGCGATTCACGCAGGTATGTGTTACTCCGCAGCGGTGACCAGGCTACAATAGTCCAAATATAAGTACTTATTATAAGTGTACCATAGTTTTTCGGAATAAGACAAAGACGCGGTTTGGAAGATGAATTCATGATGTACTCGCTCATTATATACTTTTAGCAAATTTTGAACACAGAAAAAGTTACATAATGCTGATATTTCTAGTTAAGAATTAAGTATCTTTATTTAATCATATGAGCTTTTTTTCCCAGAAGAAAGAAATATGATTCACTGATTAAAGCTGTACATGTTCGGTTACACCAACCAGCAAAAATATGATAGCATACTCGGGTGTTATTACACATTTACCATTGTTAGGCGTAAATTCAGTTTAGGTTCAGTTTCTAAATATAAGATGCATTAAACTGGTTATTAGAAATACTTAAAGTATATTAGTAAAAGTATATCCTTCACATGGTATTAAAAAGTACACATAAATTAGATTATATAAGTGAAGTTATAGTTTTGAGACAAACTACCTGTAATATCCAGTTACGGCTGTAGTAAACTCAGAAGTGAAGATCAGAGACGGAGTGACTCTTCATCAGGTTCTTGATTGAGATGCTACTGTGTGTCACGCTGCAGTCATCAAGACTGACTAAAGCACTGAATCACTGTAGTTTATACTGATTTCAGGAGGCTGTCATCAGAAGATTAAGTATGCAGAGGATGCAAGCAGTTACAGGAATTTGCCCAGATTTTCAGCAACTCTAAATCAATCAGCATAACTATAACTCTCATTATCACAGAGATCAGGGAAGGTCACACCTACAGACATCACATTCACACTTAACCCAGGTACTGATAGCATGAACAATGACCATCAATTAAAGTAACGGGACAGAAGCAGCGAGAGACAATAAAGACAAAAGGTGACAGACTCACCTTCCATGATTTTACATCTGCATTCACACACACCTAAAACAAGAGATTCATTTTAATATCTATATGCAATTTATCTTTCTGCTAACCTTCTAAGGCTATGGTTTAATTTTGATCAAAATAATAGTGTCTTAATTGATGTGCATTTGTAAGAAAGTAAATATGTATTCTTTGGAAGTATTTTCTAGAATACAAATATAAATTAACAGTGATTAAATAAAGTATTCTTACAAAATTCTTTATGCATAGAGCTAAATTTATACCTTTTTATACCAAACCACAGACAATTGGAGATTAATATTAGTTCAGTAATAGTTATGAAAATTAAGAAGGAAAGTTGAGATTATTGAAACCTATTACATTTATTGATGTTTTATATTATTTTATGACGTCACAATAAGTTATGTAAAATCATCAGAGTCAGGAGATTTCTGAATTTCATTCTATACCTTTAAATGTTGTTTGTTTTTCTTTAAAGTCAGAGTAGCTTTATTGTCGTTTCAGCTCTTAACAGCCTGTACACAGCGACACAAAAAAGTGTTCCTCCAGGAGACCAGGACCATGGTGCTACACAAGACAGCACACAACAAGGACTACAAAACAAACTGTATTAACATAATTTAAGTTACATTAAAAAGCCTAAAATAAAGAACCGAAAAAGAAGAGCTGGAAAATAAGAACGAATGAAAATTGAACATTTAAACACTGACTTCGCAAGACCACTCAAAGAGGGTACATTAACGGGAGAGCAGCATACGTGGTACACACATTTTTTAGAAGTGTGCAATATGCAAAGTACACTAGTTGTGTGGAAAGATTCATTTAAAATGGATGTATGTGTGTGGGTGTAGTCATTGTCCATTGTTGTTACAGTTCAGGAGTCCGATGGCTTGGGGAAAACAACTGTCCCACATTCTGGCCATGAGGGTACGTATACTTCTGTACCTTCTGCCTGATGGCAGAAGGGTGAAGAGTTGGCACAAGGGGTGTGTGGGGTCATCCATGATACAGCGTGTGTCAGTGATGGAAGGAAAGAGACCCCAGGGATCTTCTCAGCTGTCCTCACTATCCGCTGCAGGGTCTTGTTATCTGAGGTGGTACAGTTTCCGAACCATATAGTGATGCAGCTGCTGAGGATGTTTTCAGTAGTCCCTCTGTAAAATGTGGTGAGTGTGTGGTGTGGGAAAAGTGCTTTCCTCAGTCTTTCTAGAAAGTAGAGATGCTGCTGGGCTTTCTTTGTTATGTAGCTGGTGTTAAGAGACCAGGTGAGGTTCTCTGTCAGATGAACACCAAGGAATTTGGTGCTCTTGACGATCTCCACAGAGGAGCCATTGATGTACAGCAGAGTGGATGTTGTGTTCTCTTCTAAAGTCAACGACCATCTGTCCACGTTCAGAGACCGGTTGTTGACATTGCACCAGCTTGATAGCCAATGCACCTCCTCTCTGTATGCTGACTTGTCTCCTTTGCTGATGAGACCCACCACAGTCATGTCGTCAACAAATTCAATGACGTGGTTTGAGCTGTGCATTTCTGCACAGGAGCGAGTCAGCAGAGTGAACCGCAATGGACTAAATACACAGCCCTGGGGGGCTCCTGTGCTCAGTGTTATGGTGCTGGAGAAGCTGTTTCCTATCCAGACTGTCTGAGGTCTCTCAGAAAGGAAGTCCAGGATCCAGTTGCAGATGGAGGTCTTCAAGCCCAGCAGGCTCCGCTTTCCAATCAGTTGCTCCATGCCAAGTACCCAGTTCCATGCTCCTTAAAAAACAAAACCAAAAAAATATGTCAACACAGAATTAAACTTCAAAAAACAGGACTGTTACTTTTCACCCTTTACACACTATCTTTGAGAAATATCATCAGAAAAAAAAACTCTGCTCGCCAATAAACTAGAATACTGTCTAACCCTTGATGGCTGCTCTGTAAAGTTTTGTATTTTATGGAGTGATGTGACCAAACTGGAAATGAATCCAAATTTTGGAGCCAAAAAAAGGCAAAACTCGAGCAGAACAAACATGGGGGTGGATCAGTCAACACAGGGGTGTTATGCTGTTTCAGGAAGTGCAAATCTTGACTGTTTGAAAGGCATCATGGATTCTTTGAAGTTTCAGGCCATTTTGTCGAGACTTGTGATGCCTTCAGTGCAGAAGCTTGATGATCAATGGAATTTCCTGCAGGACAAAGTACACATCCAAATCGAACTATTCTTGCTTCTGGGATCAATCGAAGAATGTTCTTGAGTGGCCTGTTCATTTTCCAGATTTAAATCTCAAGTGAAAATATTTGGTGGGATTTAAAAAAAAAAGAAGTGGCAATGTGAAAACCAAAAATTATCAGTGACTTTCAAGTGAGGAATGAGCCAAGATTGCAGTAGAGAGTCTCAGAAGGTTCTAAGAACCTACAGGCAGTGTTCATTGGAGGTTATAAAGGGTTAAAAAATACACATATACATATGTACACATATTCCCATGTATCAAATAAAAATAATAAGTATAAAAAATAATAAATCCATAAACATAAAATGTATGTAATTCAAATAATCCCTGATTTTATTATTATTAATTAATAGTTATAAAATAATATTTGCCTGGAGCTAACTTCAACTTTTGAAAAGACGTTGTGTCTTAATAAATTTGCCTTAATGTAGAAAGAATTGTAAAGAATTAATACTTAGTTTACGATATAAGCGCTATTTGTATTCTCCAAAATACAGTGCCGTGAAAAGGTTTTTGCCCCCTTCCGGTGTTTTTTTTTTTTTTTGCATATTTGTCACACTTAAAATATTTAGATCATGAAACTCATTTTAATATTACACAAAGATAATGCAAGTAAATATAAAATGCAGTCTTTAAATGATGATTTCATTTATTAAGGGAAAAAAGCTGTCCAAACCTACCTGGCCCTACGTGAAAAATGAATTGCCCCCTCCTGTTAAATCATGAAAGAACTGTGATTAACCACATTATTTTAGAAAGCCGAGTTAAAGGGTTAGTTCACCCAAAAATGAAAATTCTGTCATTAATTACTCGCCCTCATGTCGTTTCAAACCCGTAAGACCTTCGTTCATCTTCGGAACACAAATGAAGATATTTTTGATGAAATGTGAGCGCTTTCAGACCCTGCATTAGACAGCAACACAACTGAAATGTTCCCAAGTCCAGAAATGTAGCAAGGAGATCTGTAAAATAATCCATGTGACATCAGTGGTTCAACCACAATTATACGAAGCTATGAGAATACTTTTTGTGCGCAAAGGAAAAAGAAAAAAATGACTATTCAACAATTCATCTCAAGCTGTACCGGTTCAGTTTTTTAATACAACATATTCCATTCAGCAAAAATTATATTAAAAACTAAATTCCTTATATAAAAGAACATTTAAATCAGTGAGATCAAACACAGACTATAATTATGTTCCATTTGGATTCATTTTTCTGTCTATTAATTATTCTGATCTGTTCATTACAACAAACAATAAATAAGTCATACGCCGATATCAAAAATACCAGCCTACTTCTAAAATAAATCATTGTCCAGCTGACACCGCTTGGTTGAGTTACTGCATGCTGTTTATCTTTGTTCTTCGTTTAAAAATCTTTGGTAAGTGAATAACAGTCATTGACCAGTAACTTCATAATGAACCGCATCATAATAAAATATATATATTTTTAAATATCACAGACATAGTAGCACACTAAAGAAAACATCTGTTTAACTTTTTCATCTTCAATCACCCTCATTTTTAAATGTATCATCAGAAGTTGATCTACCCTAGTGAAAAAAGTATACTTTATTGTATTTGTAATATATTTCCTGTTTCAATAGTACATTGCAAATACACTAACAAAAAAAATTGTACTAACTAAATATATAACAAGTGTACTACCAACATGCTTTTACCTATTTTTACAATACAACTTTTAACACACTTTAAAATAATTGTAATTTAGTGTATTTTCTAAAAATATATTTTACAAAAATATACTTGAATTGAAAGTTTTGTTTATTTTTTTAAAAGTGTATTTATTTGCACTTTATGTAAATATGTTTTAGTATATTATTTTTAACTATGTGCTGAAAATGACCATTGTAACAATGCATTGAAACTATACTTTCAAAGTACATTATTAAATAACCTGAAGTTGTAGTATACTTTAAGTTCAATTTTGAAGTAATTTCTAAGTGTACTTCTTCATGCTTGCAATTCACTTCATTACTGCTTTCAGAAAGTAATAAAACATATGATAAATGCGTTGAAAGCCCATTTAAAACATTTTTAAATAAAGTGTATTGCACAAAAGTCTACTCTTGTAATTGTGATTTAAGTATTTTTATAAATGTATACAATGTCACAGAGAGGTCCAATGTATAAACATCAATACATGACTAATTTTATACCAACAGCACACCATACAAACACAAGAAATCATTATACATTTTAGGGAGAAATAAAGCTGAAAAACATTGATATCTGTAAAGCTGCAGAAGTTCCCCAGGAGTCAGTTTTAGTCTCGTTCAATGTTGTTTGGAAGTTGAATGACATACAGTTTGTCCTTAGACCTAATCATTACACATTTACATTTGAGTGATTGAGGAGGGACAGCAAACACATTATCGGTGTGAGACACTTCATATATAAATGTTGAGGATATATTTAACTGAATATCTCTTTACAACTTTCCTCCACTCTTGGCAAGTTCTTTAAAGTTTTGGTACTATGAAAAGGTTCCTGCGGTGCGAAAGGCCCTATTATGGTGCTTACTGTCCAACAACAGAGATGTTATCTGTTTAGTAACACCAAGGCAAACACTGTGCTGGTACTCTGGAACGAATCCTTTGTAGCGTCTGGACCACTCAAACACACAATATATATTTTGTTAGCTAGATTGAACAAATACTCTGTAACACCCCAGGAAGCTGAACAGGCCCCTGGTTCCATAGCAATGCTGACACCAGATACTTTTACGACCT